AATCATGATTGTGGTGGAATTTTGCTGTTCAGAACCATAACAGAATTCAACCCTACAAAATGAAGCATTTTTACCTGCTACTACGATCTACACCTATTAAAAATTTGAATTTCCGTAGTCGGGATATGTACCGGTATACTTGATAAATCGATGCCGGCGATTCAAACTCAGAGTGCCTTGTTTTAGGACAAGTCACAGGTTCAAATTGAAGCTCTAGCACAATTTTAATACAGTATATTTTATATTACAGAATATATCAAATACTATAACAGTAGTTTAAAAATTGCACTATGACATTTACGCCGACAAGCAAATCGTAACTCACCTCTGTTTTTAAGGACAACCCACTGTTAAAGAATATAAATGACACTGCCAGATACTTGACAGTGATTTCAGGTTTTAATGGACCTACAACGAAACAAACACAAATTATATAGTAGTACAACATGCATAGACGACTGACAGATACTACAGCGGGATTTATGCCACGTTTGCACGTTTAGATGACAGGGGTACATGTACCGGTGAACACATTCAATGGGAATCGAAAGATATACGAAAAACAACTCACCGCCCTTTATTCCCAGTGGGGGATTTAGTCGAGCCAATACAATGACTACGACAATACCGATGAGAAACCAGTTTTTCTTGAGTCGGTCCAGCCAAATCATTTTTGTAGTTTGCTGAAATCGTGTAATGAACCAGATTATTTTGTATACGGTCGCAGCCGGCGCCAAGCTGCTCCTCTCGGTGTGCTATCCCTGCGATTTCCGGTAAAAAGTCCTGTAATGATTTTATTGTAATTCAGTAACTGTTAAGAGGCTTTCGACGATATTATTAGTTACAGTAATACGTAATAGTTTTCAATAGCTAAATCGAATAACTCACGGGTGAAATTTAAAAGTACAAAGTGCGTAATGACATGAGAAAAGTTTGTTATGTTGTTCGGCTGGGCATGCGCAGACATGACATTCAACATGGCAGCAAGGTCGGGATCTAAGCCGGGTGCTACTATCTCTTTAACTTTGCCAATATCTTGCCAGATTTGTCTGGGAAAGGTGAGTTTATTACATCGTGCCAGATCAATCTTTACATCGATTGTGCGACAAAACAGTAATATGACATTCCCGCTTTGAAAGTATTCAATTTTGTATTAACTTGCCGGTGCATCGCTCGGGTCAGAGTTGCCCGGGGTTATTGTTCGCCAAGTAAATTTCTGTCGCTGCATCTGTGGGTTCGGGACACCTTGTTTTAAAAGGGAGAGGGTTTTGGGGAAGGGTATGGTTTCGTATCTTCTGATATCTTTAGAGGTAGGGAGCGGTGTGACTGGGAGCTTCCCCAGGAGGAACACATTCATACACTAGTACTAGGTATAATGCCGTTTTATACAATGTTTATTTCAAAATCCGCGTATTGTACACACAAAGAAAGATGAATGGACTCTTTGTGGGGTAAATGTTAAAAATGTGAAAATAATGTATTTTCTTGAAAGACAAAATTATTCGTCAAAATGAACTGTCGTATATCAAACAGTTGTAGAGTGAATGGTAGAAGTTGATGGGCTTGATATTAAACACATGTTTTCAGCCCAGAATGTACATGTATGTGCTTGTAGATATCTTTCAGATACTTCTAAATTAATGTGCTGCGCTGGTCAATGAACGTGATCATGGTCAACTATAAATTTTATTGGCTGAATAGAAATTCTTAGATAATTATTCAGATCAAAATTATTCTTGATCACGGATCATCCTGGTGTTGTAGCAACATTTAGCATTGGTGATGACAATTTAGATCACTGCTGATGTACGCATACATACAGTAATAATAAGTTTATTACTCAACAATTACCATCTGTGGGGGATGTATGGTAAAAAAAATACTTAGATTAACAAATTTTTTATTTTTTTTCTCCGGTGGGGGGGTATTATGAGTTAATCAAATTTATTATTATTATTATTATTATTATTACATAATCCAAATAAGCAAATCAAATAGAACTACGATCATAAATACAGCTAATTAATTAAAATTAGCTAGTGACATAATTCCTGTCAATGCTTTGAACTCATGGTTTCGGCTTATTTTGGCTAGTTGATATAATTGAGATTATTTAATGTTGCACCTACCATCTGTCTTGTGCAATAACAAGATCTCCCTGCTTTTACAAAACTAACAATTGTGTCATTTATTCTCTCATGTCTAGCGCTAATTTTTTTTCTATGCTTACCATTGCCACATGTAGCGTTTGAACACCAATGCCGTGCATTCGCCTTGTTAGCGAGCAAATTTGCTAATGAATTAGCTAGTGAATGTTGCTTTCAGACAAGCATTCAGTACTTTTACTGTGATGTTGGCGAGGTTTTTGCCAGGTTGTGTATGAACACTATAGATTCCTACGTTGATAACTTGTAATTTTATACCAGACAGTGACTTTGTATTTTACTATATTATATCATGCATAGAATAAAATTGTAATAATTTGAAATAAAGAAAAGGAATATGTTTTACACCTGTAGATCAACTGTTGTCTTTTTATTGTACAAGAAAACTACTAATATGACATACTGTTTGTTATAAAAAAAATTCAAATTGCTGTTGTAGTTTACTTTACAAAATAATGATATCTTCTACGATGTGGCTGACTCTGTTGAAAGGAAGAGATAATGTAGCAATGTTTTTAAAAGCAGGCACCGGACACTCATCAAAAAGCAATATTAATTAGTAATGTATTGTCACTTTTAATGCATGTAAGAATTTTCAATTTACTTCATTTACTGATGCATTTGGTTATGTTGAGCCCAGGACATGCATGTTTATTGTCATACAGTGTATGTCCTAGTGGATGCAGAACCAAAAACAGTACCATGACCACTGACAAAGGTTTTACTGCTTTCCTCAATGCACGAACGTCCTTTCTGCAATAAAGTTGAAAAGTGAGATATCAGTCTGTGTTTGAGAATAAGGCAAAAATCTGTGCTGCTACTACATACATGTATATTATTAGTCAGTCATGTTCATTATTTATTATTGTTGCTTTATAGGTAAAACAACCTGTGATTTGTCCCAATCAGCATGTTTTCTGTACCTTGTGTATGGATCTATGGCTGCGTAAAAATGATCAGTGTCCTACATGTCGAACATCGATTACATCTGATAACCCTTGTAAACCAATTATTGGTAAGTCAATTTGTATCTCTTCATAACCAAATATAACTAGGTTCATTTATTTGTTTAGCTCCATTGTCCATCAAGGATGTAAAACTGTTTACATACATACATACATACATACATATTTATATACACGTACATAGAGAAATATATAAGTACTGAGAAATAATTGTGAACTCATAGTTGCTGTTGACCAAATAAACTTACTGCATGCTAAATACTAAATCAAATCAAAGTAAACACATACTGCATGCGTGACTCGAACCGTCGCTCATATACGCCACCTAATCGCCTAGGCTTCACATCACTACACATCTTTCCCTTGGCCACCGGGCATCCCACCAAAAAAGGATGCTTAATAACCGAGCTTATTACGTGCAGAGAGCATGAAACCCTTCCATACGATCCGCGCCATACAGCAGTCAAGCAGGCAAATTGCCAGGTGAATAAAGATATAAGTTTTACTAATTGAACAATGGTGTACATTATGTAGTTCAATGTTGCTTATGTCCAGAAAATTGTTTTTTGGCAATTGCTGTCTCCAGAAGGTACCATCTTTTGAAATCCTGTTATGTCAAGTGAATCTCAGGGATTATGGTACAAGATGACAACTTACTAGTGCACTGGACGAAATGTTAAATGCATCTTGAGAGGCTGAGCCTCTCTCTGATAATCTGACACTGATGATTCCCCATAATAGTGTTCATCATGCAACATAATTTTCTACAGTTTCCATTGCTTGACTGATTCCAACGGAATGACAACTATTCAACCCTTAGTTTTCTCATCACCTTGTATAGAGTCACTTTGCCCATGCAATTGTGTTTGAAACAATATTTTTTTAAGATTTGGTCATCTTCATGTGGTTATATTTAAACAAAAAATGTTCAAAATCACAGCTGCTTTATTTATTTGTTTTTAGCCCCTGCCAAACATCTGTCTGTTTATTCCCTGTCATTTCTCAGACATTCATTGAGCTATTTTAACATGCACATCAATTTCCTTATTCTGCTCAAAATGACTGAACTAGTGGCCATTTTTACATGAATTGTTTTCTCAGACAACATAAATTGACTGATTCTGCTGAAACTTGATACAGTGACATGTAATGGCTTACTGATGATTAGTGACTGAACGGTGTCCATTTTTCTCTGACATCATGGTTAATTATATTTTCTCCAGTGTCAGCGTTTCTCTAGAACGTGATGCACAATTTGTGCAATTCATTCAGGTTTTCGCCATTAAAAAAAATATGAATGTGTCATAATGTTACATAAACACGCACACAAATATTTGCAAGCATGTTTGTTGATATCAATGACTACACCCTTTCATGTACATGTATCCTTGATCTGGGAAAAAAACAATACTCTTATTGTTAACACCAGAGGGAGGGACAACTGTGTGAGTAAACGCAACATATTAGAATTTTCTATTCTGATCGCACGCAGGCAGTTTACGCGACTCTTTTTATTGATCGATGTGAAACGAGAATTTGATGTGTCAGAAGCAAATGCCATGATCAAAAATTAAGAGGCTATTTTGATTGCTATGGAAATAGTGTAGTGGTTGAAGAAGGAGACAGCAGCCATCAATAAATATGCATCTCTTCTTGATTTGTTGACAGTAGCTTGATGTGAACTGCCATCAAATTTGATGTACCTGTATCTCAATTTGATGTCCTTAGCATGAGGTATCTCCCCTTTGTTCCCAGTGATAAATTATGCCAGTATGCATATGGCAATACCAGATTGGATATCTTAATATCACATTATGATGTGCAGCAACTAGATAAGGAACATTTGCAACCTACTTATTAATTTAGAAGAAACTAAACATGAACGGTCAATAGTTAAGCCAATGGTATTACAACAAGCATACCCCAAAGACAATTTAACAATACTGTGGAAATGTAATGCCACAAATCACAAAGATACTTTACCAAACCCAATCACACTTGCAAATCTGAGTGTTGTTTTGCTAGTAAGCACAGCTATACAAGAACAAGGCTGTTCCGCTCAGAATATTGTGAAGTCATCATTGAGTAATAGGTTGAAGGAAGGTGCTTTGAATCAATTGCTAACAATTCTTATTGAGGGGTCACCACTTACTTAGTTCAATGGTATGAAAATATTAAAGTATTGCGGTATGAACATTTGTCATACGGAAATTGTTGTGGTGAGGAATTAATTATGAGTAATATGAACATTGTTTCAGCAGAAGTAGTCATTGACAAATCTTGTTCTTTCAACCTAAGAGTTAAAGTGAATTTAATTGAACATTTGTGAACTAATGTCAATAATGAAAGGATAGCTACCAAGTTCAGCTCTAATCGCTGCATCGCTGGTCTTATTATTAATACCTAAAATCTGTTTGCAAAGTTTAATGTGGAGTTGTTTAAAGTGTGTTTTGTCATTAAACAGATTTTGGATAAAATTGTCATCAGTTATTTCATTATTTTTTGTTTTAGCAAGTTTGAAAGTAAAATCCCTCGTACCTCAGATCCAAAATGTGTATGATTGTACTGTGATATAACTGAATAGCATTTTTTGGCCAAACTATATAATTGTGTAGGCTAAGTGTTTGTTTTAATGCACCTATTGCACGCATTGTTTCTTGACTAGATTGTTAATAGCAATTGTAAAATTACCACGACTTTGGAAAGTAATACCTAAGTAGGTATAAGTAGAAACAACTTTTATCTGTTGGTCTCTCAGATAAAAATTAGCCATCTATCTTTCTTCTCCTGTTATTAAAAATAATAATTTTAAATTTTTTAATATTAACTCAGTCTCCATTTGATACAGTAGCTTTTAAACAAATTAAGACTATCTTGTAGTCCTGTAGTTGTGTTTGAAAAAATGACAATGTCATCTGCAAAAAGTAGGCAATTAATATTGATGCCATTAAGACTAACATGCTCAGATTTTTTAAGACTGTCAGATAGGTCATTGATGTAGATGTTAAATAATAATGGGCTTAAGTTGCACCCTTGTTTAACACCACTAGATGATACAAATGGTTGGTGCAACCCTGACCAGTCTTAATGGCATACTTAGTATTTGAATACATTGGTTGAATCAAAGTAATACATTTCCCTGTCACTTCTGCTTTTCCTAATTTAAATACAAAATATATGTTAAATTCAGTTTAGTTTGATTGTGATTGGATGTTCTCAATCGCTTTTGA